AAAAAATAAAACAATAAATCAAAATTCGTAAAAAACATTCATTTTAAATGTTACACCACAATTTTGTTATTATTAATAATTAGAAAAAAAAAGAAACTCTCTCTATATGATTATAAATAATATAATTTAATCTATGTATATTAATTATAAATTAAAATATATATTTTGAAACAAGAAAAAAAAAAACTAGAAAATAAATAATACACGATTAAATTTGTTTTAATTGTAAATTAAAATAATTGAAAAAAACAAAAACAAAAAAACAAAAACAAAAAAAACACACGTAAAAATAATAGAAATGCAGATGAACCAGATACAACAGAATTATTATCCACATTTTTAATTATTCAAATTAAAATTAACCAAAATAATTCGATCAATAATATTACGGGGAAGGAATGGTGGGTTGGTAGAAGGGGGAAAAAAAACAAAAAACCAAACAAAAATCATTTATTCACAAAAGAAATGATATTATATCTATCAGCCCCCAAAATGTAAATCCAACGATATTCGCAGGATTCTTGTTAAAAGCTTGGTATAAAATGCTATTAATAAGCGTCAGTTAGATCGAATGTCGGTCGTCTGTGGGCAGCCAAGTAAAGCTCGTTCTTCTGGCTTCTTACATTATGCTAGTTTTGCTTGCTTGCTGCTTGCTTGCTTTCTTGCTTTCTTGCTTTCTTGCTTGCTTGCTTGCTTGCCTTCTTCTTTCTCGTCGTGCCATCGACGTCGTTTCACTTATATTTATAGAATCCGGCTGTAGATGCTATTTCCGTGGACACCCTGATGTGCTATTTTCCGTGCACGTTAGGCGTACACACACACACACACACACAATCATATGCATATAATATATATATATATATATATATATATATATATATATATGTTATTAATTAGAAGATTTGCTATAATTTAACAATTTGTGATTACATTTTATTATTTATTTATTTGTTTGTTTAAGTAATAATTTTTTACACGTGTGCACATTATCCAATATTGAACATCTAACAATAATAATAATAATAATAATAATAATAATAATAATACTAATAATATTATTAATGATATAAATTATTGAATAAAATTTACAAAATACACACATAACACATATAACAAATGTACTACAACAAATGTAGAAAAAAAGGATGCTTAGAAAATACACTCATGAAAAGATTTTCTAATTCCAGATTGTCTTAGGAATATATTTATAAATAAACGCGAATGTGGCAAAACGACGTCCGTGAGAATTTGGATGTTCTCGTTGAAATCTTATTCTATATTTTCTATCTCTCACTCTATTTCTATTTCTTTTTCTATTTCTCCATCTATCTATCTATCTATCTATCTATCTATCTATCTATCTATCTATCTATCTATCTATCTATCTATCTATCTTTTTCTTTATTTCGTGTTAAAAATGTTTTTAAGAATGATTAAAAATGACACACGTAACATGAATTTCGCAAGTGTCATTTTGACGTATTAGATCCAGGTGTATGTATATGTGTGCTCATTTAAATATATTTTCAAAATGATTATATTTAATACATTTCTAATATTAATATGATTATTAATAAGAGAAGAATATTTTATAAGTAATAAGAAGACTGCATTTTATTTTATTTTATTTTTTTTTTTCTAATATTAACACATCGTATTATTTATCATTTTTTTCTTTATAAATCATTGATAATGTTCATTTTATTTTTTCATAATAAATTAATGTATAATTTATTTCAATTATTGTACAGCAAAATTTCATAACTTTTTTATTTTTTTTATATTTTTTTAATGATCTATATAATAATCGTTTGTATTTTTTGATCACTCTTTGATCGCCCTTACACATTCGTTTGTGACAACAATTTGTTACAAGTGTTTATTTACATGATTACGTAATTTACATTGATTTTTATTTAAAAATATTAATTTATATTGTCTGTTAATAAATAGGATTATTAGAATTATAAAAGATATTAATAATAATAATAATTGTTTTAAGTATAACCTTTATCAGATATTTCTGATTATCCAAATTACAGATAAAATATAGATTATTATAATTAATATAATAAATATAGATAAATTAAAAAACAAACAAATAATAAGATAATAGAATAATAGGTGAACACAAATATTCGCATAAAAAAAAAACCAAGCCACAAAAAAAAAATAAAAAAAAAAATAAAAAATAGAACAACAAATGAAAATTCGTAAAAGATTTATTTTAAATGTTACACCACTACAACTTTGTTATTATTAATAAATTAAAAAAAAAAAAAACTATAATATAAATAATATAATTTAATCTATATTAATTATAAATTACAATTATGTTAGTATTAATAAACTAAAAAAAGAAAACCAAGCTACAAAAAAATAAAACAATAAATCAAAATTCGTAAAA